CACACAAAGACACACGCACATACACATACACACACACACACGCACATACACATACACACACACACACACACACACACACATACACACACACCTGCCGGATTGCCCGCGTGGACCCTGCCCACGATCTCTTGCTTTAATGCTGTTATTCATCTCCACCCACACAACAGATGCTCCTCAATAAAATGTTTCGGAAGGTGTTGGTGTTGAAGAAGCGGACAAGATGCCGCTTTTTGAGAAGCTGGTGAAAGATCGTGTGAACTTTTCTTTTCCCCAAATTTGTGCCCGTGCATAAAATAAATCCTCACACACACTTCACAAAAGTTCATACTCCTAGTATCACAGGAATATGTTTTGCAAAGTGTTTGTCAGACAGACACGCCCACTCTGGCCTACACCATGTGACTGAGCCCCCTTACCTTCTCCTCCCGCTCAGCACGCCGGTACATTAACGAGACACAGCGCAGGTCGGCCATCTCGGACTCAGTCTGCCGTGCCTCGATCAGACGCCCAATGTAGCGGTTCACCCGCGTGCCCGGGGCGTGCTGGGCCGCGCCTGCCGAGAAAGACGTGCGGCTCCGCAGCTTCTCCGAGGCCGTACGCAATGCCCTCCTCTGTGGGGGTGTTTCACAGACAGTGTATATGTTGGGGGAGAAGCTTTAAATTCAGTCGTTATACCCGTGAACACATATAACACAGGATCATGGTTTCAGGCAAATGTCTAACTCAAATGTCTAACCCCTAACCTAACCCTATCCTAACCCCTCACCTTGACCCAATGCTCCTAACCCTAACCCTGATGCCAGGTATCCCCTGGGCCAGGTCTACTGCCCCAGATGAATATGCCGAGCCTGGGGGGCGACAATTGCAATCACTCCAGAGTAAATGGTTTCTTGGTCTGGCTGTAGAGTCTGCTAACTGGAGACCCCAGTCCTAAGCCCTAATATTCAACGTAACCCCAATGCCTAAGTCCTACTTCCATCTGTAACATTTCAACACTGAAGTGTGCAGAATAAGGAATCTTTATCGTCCTTTAAAAAAATAACTGAAACAAAGAGTGAGAGAGATAGAGAGCGAGAGGGGTTGCGGCTTGAGGTCCTGCTTGTTGCTGCTGTCCACCAGGGACAGAAATAACAGCAATAACAAGACTAAAGCACATTTTCCCCGCGCGGATGCAGCATTCCCCGAACTGTATCTATGGGGATCAAACAGGACAGGAAACAGCATCGATAAAGCAGCAGGAGCACAGTGTGTGTGTGTGTGTGTGTGTGTGTGTGTGTATGTGTGTGTGTGTGTGTGTGTGTGTGTATGTGTATGTGTGTGTGTGTGTGTGTGTGTGTATGTGCGTGTGTCTTTTACCCTAATGCCCCCATGTCTGTTCCCCTTGTGTTCTTCCTGATAAATAAACAAAACATTCTTCTTTGGGTGGTGGGGGGGGGGGGACAAATCACTTCTCCGAATCTCAGCATGAATCCAGGCTGAAAAACAGCTGTCAGGGCATCGGACTTGAGAGACAGCGATACGAGGCACCTGCAGTGCAGTAACAACGCATGCAGTACACAGAACAAAAGGGAGAGGGCAGTGCGATCATCCCCCAGACTCATGTAGCACTGAAAGTAGGTCATGTGACAAGCAGTCAGGCTCTATGATGTCTGCTCGGGCCAGTGATGGGCTCAGTCTCCACCTGGCTGCCCGTTACGAGGCTCACATATACACGGGCTGACACCCATACGGATGTGACAGATGCCTAATGCAGCCCATTCACATACAATCCGATCCAATAACTACTGATTCCGCTTCGCTGTGCTTTGTGAGACAGGTGGTTTGACGGGGTGACACTTATACTTCCTGTGTTTCCCCTTACAAAGACTCCTGCTGCTGTTGCTGCTCTCTCTGCAAACTGTGCTCTGCTACAGACCTCCAGCCAAAAAAAATGCAGATCACTGCAGAAAAACAGCAGCTAAAAGAGAGACAGGAGCACCAACACAAAATCAAGCACCTTGTCGTCGTCCTCACAGGTCATGACGTTGGAGAAGGGGATCTCAGCCTTGAACATCTTCTGACAATGCATGAGCTGCACCAGCAGGTAGCACACAGTCTTGAACTTCATCCGCTTGGCTGGCTTGATGTCCGACAGAATCAGCCCGGGAAATATCTGCAGAGCCAGCAAAAGGGCCACTTAAAACACAGCACATCAGTCACGTTTTTAGTTCTTGTTATGATGCTGATCTTTGCAATAAATTGCCCTTGAGGTCCTCGAGTAAAACATCAATCTGCAGAAACAGACACCTAAATGTAGGATGAAGGATACGTCAAAGTTGCCTAAGTACCTCTGACCCTGTTATTGAACTCGATAAAGAAGAATTGAACCCTAAATGGAACTAATACCCAGCTAAATAAAGCAGACCTGGGTCTTTGGCAGAGAGCTGTGTATGATGCCTTTAGTTTAGAGGAAACACTACCTTCCGACGGTGTGACGGCACTATGAAGAAGGTCTCGATGTCATGCTTCTGAAGGAAAGAGTTCCTCTGGTGCCCATAGCCTGGTTCTACCTCATAGTCTCCGTTAAGGTATTCCAGTGTGGTTCTGGTAATGTGGACCTTCCTGTGGGAACAAAAGAACCAGACTCGGCTAGTCCCCGATCCACTGTCTCTGTTCGGAAGGTCGGATTAACTTATCAGGGGGCCCTAGGCTGGGACCAGCATGGACACACAGGTGCTGCCGGTTTAACTGACTGTTTCAGTTTTTCCGGGGCAGGGCCCTGATGTTTGCTGGGTCATGGGCTATAGCTTAGGATGACCTATACATTAAACTACCCAGGTTCATCCAGATGAATGAGGTCGAAAGGGATGTTTTATGCAAAAAAAACATGCTTCATCTCAATGTGACCAGCAATTGCTAACAAAGGAAACCTGAATATTGGCAGGAAATGAAAAGTTAGCAAATATGTAAAAGGAAGCACAAACGGAATCTGGAGAAGAGAAAGACGGACCCAGGCAAGCCTCCGGCCTCCATGACATTGGCGAGCGTCACATCATTGGACCACACATCATACTGCCACTTGCGAAGGCCCAGCACTCCGCAGAGGACCCTCCCTGTGTGCAGGCCCACGCGCATGTTGAGGTCCACCTCCGTCGCTTCTGCCACTGACCTGCAGGGGGCAGACAACGCACATTAACCGACATCACTAAGACACACCCTCCCAAGACCACCTGGTTTGTCCCTCATAAAACCCCATGACACCCCCCAGCGCTGGATGGCAGGGCACCAACTACAGGCACGAAATTGGCATTTGCAGTGATAAAAGGTGACCAAAGGGTCAGCCCCCATCATCGCAGAAAGCATGAGGAGTAGCGCTGTGGATTCCGGAACATTCCATCACTCCCCAGGATCCTATAAATAGTCTCCCCCCGCCTCATGCTACACACATTTATATAATACGCAAAGACGAGGGAGAAAGGGGACAGAGTTTTACTAGTCCTGACAGTTTTTCTATTCCGACGGCGGGCGTGCTTTTCGGAGATAAGGTGCTGGAAGTAAATTATCAGCTCTCAGGATTTTAAAGACACCCCCCTCCCCTTCGGCTGTACATGAAGCAGGTGCGGATCTGTTTCAAAGCAGTGATAGAGACACATCAGTCACCCTGAAAGGAGGGATTTCCCCCGGCCGGGGACAAGCCTGCCATACCCTATGAGACCCTTAAAATCCCCCCCCCAAAAAAAACCACCGACGGCTGATAACCAGGGTGAAGAAACAGGTCCGTGAAGAGTCAACCCCCCACCCCACCCTCACTGGAGACACCAAAACCATGTTCTAGAACATTCTGTGCCACCACACTGGAGTGCCTAGAAGCACCTAGATGTTTCCACATGTCCGTTTGCTCATTTTCCTTCCAGGATACCAGATTAAAAAGCAAGGTCTACTTCTTAAAATTGCTGGAATAAGAACACGGAATCTTATTAATGTTCCACGCTGTCAAAAGCTGAGCAATACCTCTCGGAGCCAGTCCCAAACGCACAGTGCGGAAAAGACCTGACAGCTCCTGATGCTTCCATGGCGTCCATCATAAGCTCAGACCTCTTTCATGAGATTGTGAAATGGAGCCCATTGTTACTGTAAACCGTGGTCCCGCCCCCCATGCATTTTAAGCCCTTCCATTGGTCAAACACGGCTTCCCCTGGCTGCTTACTTCCTCCCAGTCACTTCCTGTACAGAGTACCCGGGCAGCTGGTGGAAGCAGAGACCAGCATGTCGGTTTGACATCATGTCCTTCATATCCTGATCAGCAGGGGCAGGGACAGTTCTTTTTATTAAGGTGGGGGCCACCAAAGGTGAATGAAACTAAACAGAAGGGAATGTTTTAAGATGGGGGCCGTAGGAAGGACCATAAGTCATACAGAGGAGACGACTTTATCATTAGTCAGTGATATGTTTTGAAACTGTGAATGACAGGGGATGGATCGCTCCAGGTGCCAATCAGCATTCATCTGGGGCCAGTACTCCTGTATACGTCCCTGCTGACCAAATGTGTATCCCAGTCAAGCCTGAAACAGCCGCTGATTCAACCGCCAGCATCCGAAAGCAAGCAGGATCGATGAGCATCTCGCTCGTAGCGTTTTCAGACTCGCGCGGTGCTTTCATCACCCCCTCGCCCCAGCGTCACATGTCGCTGAAATGTGATCAGACAGGAAGGCCGCTGATGTGACGGCAACAGGGACCCGCGTCGCTAATCCTCCCGCTGTTTGATCTTCTCCGTGATGAGCTTGGCTGTCTCTCTGTGATCTGAGCTTTGGGAATTGTTCAATAATTCTGGTTCTTGTGAAAGAGTGAGCCAAACTGGACAACTTCTGCTAGTTTATTTAGTGTTTTTTTAACAGTCTATTAACCCAATGCGGCACGGTGTCACATGAGTTTTGGTCTGGACTTCTCCCACAAGCCAAACATTGTGTCAATGCATGAGCCCCTACAATAAGCTGGTATCCCATCCTGGGTGACCCCTCTCCTGTGCTGCCTGGGATAGGATCCAGGCCCCCTGCAGCACTGTCCTTGATATGTGGGTAGAACATGGATGGATGGATGGATGGATGTGTTTATTAACTGTGCCGTTCTAGGAATGAGCTGGAACCAGCACTTTAATTGATTTCTTCCTGTAGCCAATGTGTCTCTGAAGAAGGTCTCTAAAACTACTCAGTTCTTAAAATCTCCCCTAAAAGCTGGAGACCTTGGGTGGTGACATGGGTGGGAGGAGTCAGGTGACCAGGAATATCATGGTGCTTCTGTTCCCCCGGCAAACTTACCCTGAAACCTTCACTCTCGTGTTAATCCAACACACTCAGCTGAATTCGATTAGCATATTTTAATTAATTTTTTTCAGTTTTCACGGCAGTGAAAGTATCCCACAATTGATCGTGTTCTTGCCCGACCCGCGTGACCCTAAAAAGTGCACATTCCTGCCCGGTGAACAAGCCACTCCCTCTCACTTTCCATGTTGCATGGTTCTGTCTGGTTCTGTCTTGCATGGTTTTTTCACACAGACCTTCCCAGATCTAACTCGGGAAGCTCAATTAAGCTAAACCAAAGCAGCAGAGTAGGGAGCCCCAGGGCAGGGCAGGCGGCACTGTGGCACTGTGGTACTGCGGTACTGCGGCACTGCGTTAACTCACCCGTGTCTCACAAGCTTAGACAAGCCCAAAGATTATCCCCTCTACACAGTGGAGTTATATTATACATCTAAATCACTGGTGAACTCATTGCTGAACTTATGTAATGTTTAAGTCAAAGAATAAATGAGAAACGTGCTACATTTCACACGCCAGGGAGATTCCGTGGCCCAGAAATCACACTTACGTGATGGTGTCAATCATGTCCAAGCCCATCTCCACACAGCAGTGGGCATGGTCTGTCTTGGGCTGGGTCAGGCCAGACACACAGTAATAACAGTCTCCCAGGATCTTGATCCGTCTGCAGTGGTTCTCCTGTCAGTCGGGGGGAGGAGACAGAGAATGAAGATGGAAGCAGAGAGAAGGATGGAGAGACAGCGAGAAAGAGAAAGCAAGATTAAGAGAGAGGAGGAGGGACAGCAGAGAGAGAAAGTTAAAGTGACAAGGATTGAGGGAGAGAGATGAGAAAGAGAAAAAAAAAAGGGAAAGATGAAAGAAGCGGGGAAATAGAAGGAGAGACAGTGAAGGCATAGGATAAGGGATAGTGAAGATAGTGAGAAGAAAGGAGAGTGAGAGGAATGAGAAAGACCAGGGAGAGAGCAGGAAGAGACAGGATGAGACAGACAGATTCCTAATCGGCAGACTCCATCCACGTATGCTGACGGCTCACATTTTATGTCAAATAGTGAAAAAATGAAGGCAGACTGATTCGGCAGAGACTGAAACGCGAAGATACACCTGCTGACAAAAACAGAGTGGAATCGTGACAAAAACAGCCCACTGCTTAAGGATGTAAACAGAAAGGTTGTTAGCCAGAGGAGGGCAATGCTGTTGAACCACTGAGGGACTCATCCCGAACAGCTTAGGTAAATATGTGTTGTCAAGAATCTCAGGGCTAAAGAATAAACGCAAACCCCAGAAATGAGCAGATGGGTCTGCTTAGCAACAGTGCGGCGGGTCTGGATAAATTTCACACTCACCAGAGCAAATCTCACCAGCACTAGAGGATGAGCCAGACCAGAGCTCTGCCCCCCCCCCCCCCCCCCCAACTGAGGAAGTCACAGAAGTGTGAGACAAGGTGACATGCCACATGGTGTGGTCATCTACTTCTGCTGTGCATTTGTTTGTGAGTCTATCCACGTCCGCGTCTGCATTAGTCAGGCCACGCAAGGGCCTGCATCTCCTGATCTTTACTTATAGATGTTTTCATCCATCACTGTGTCTCTACGCATGTGGCTTGGTATGGGACCTGGGACTCGGTAATTCATCAAGGTGAGTCACAGCAACGAGCAGGACCAGGGTGTTTTGGTCGGCAGCTGTAGAAGCCCACCTGGATTTATACCATTAGGGGTAAACAGGGCCTGCTGGGTGTATCTGAGAAGCTCGCCATATCCCCAAGCAAATTTCCACACGCTACAGCACTGACCAAAGGAGCCCAAGGTTAGTCAGAAAAAGGAGCATAGAATCGTCATTCAATTTGACGTTTGAATAAGGGATAAAATGGTGAAAAAGTCAGGGGTTAGCTAAGTGATGGTTATTTGTCTGAAATGACACCTGCCACATTCTGATATGAAAAAAGCACGTTCCCTGATCTTGGGTCTTCCAGGCAATTATGGAGTGGCTGAACACTGAGTGCTCAGGCAGCGGGGCGCTGTCTGAAGCACAGGAAGGCCAGTTTTAGATCTAGGCTACTGCCAAAAAAAAAACCACATCCCCTTGAGCTGACAGCTGAGAGTCTCTCCATTGAAAATAAGATGGATTTAAACATCTCGCCTCCTTTCAGGGCACTCTCTCTCGCCGAAGCAAATGGGCTCCAAAATTTAAGGAGAGGCATGACGAAGGTCATGTGACCAGACGGAATGGCATCGAGTCAATGACTCGGATCACACAGATGTGAGATGCTGGTTTTTGTCACATTATAAGGTCGAGGGGGAAAAAATTGCAGACAAACCTTCTCGCACTCGAACCTCGATAAGCAGGACGTATGGCGCCCAAATGCCGCCATGACCATGCCTCCTCCCTCGCTCATTTCCTCAGCTAGTGTTCCAGTGAGGCTGGCTAATCTGCCTCCTTTTGTGCCTGGACAATGATGGGCCCCACTGATCTTCTTGATCTATGTTCCAGCGCTCTTCCGTTGTGCTGAACGCCTCAGGATTTTACATTTAAATAACAAGTCCATCTGAAAATCTACGGCTATGCAAACAGGCGCACAGCAGCACCAAGAAACCTGAACACAAGGCCGAGTCCTTGGCTTCCTGTCTCGAGTTCTTGTCGCTTGACAAGCCACGACTGGACGCCTCGTTAGATGTGCATCCACACGTGCTCTACAGACCCATTAGCTAGCGGCCATTAACATGCATGGCTTCTCCAGACCCAACAGCATCTCAAATGAGCTCTTTGACAGGCCGATGCAGGTAAGTGAGCATGAATATTCATGAGGCTCCGTGGATGACATAATACAGCCCGAAAAGGACCTCTTTCCGGGAGAACGCCGCCTGTTTTAAAATAAACCACAACAACAGAGGATGACAGCTGTCCTGCTCTTGCTGTCGCTGTAATAATCCCGTCAGTCATGGTAGGTAAAAACTGACTCAGAGGAGGAAACCTGTTTCTGGCAGAGGATCTCCAGAACAAGGTTCCATTCTTTCTGCGTGTCCCAGCAGTGAATCAGGCATCAGTGTTGTTGAGGCATATAGCAAACATCTATCTTCTTATCCCATTGTGGGTTGTGGCCTAACCCTGCAAGCACAGAGCACAAGGCAGGGGACAACAACAAGAGGTAAATGCCATGGGCAATTTTAGAGATACTAATTTATCTAAATGCATGTCCTTGGATACCCAGAAACCCAAGGATGATACCCAAATGGCAGAAAAACCAGGCAGGGGAGGGAATCAAACCTACAGCCTAAAGGTGTGCAGCCTCAGTTTTATCCACTGACGCACTGCACCACCCCATATACCAATCAAGTGAAATATAAATTATTCAGACAACAAAGCCTTCCTAAAGAAATGACGACCCAACATAGCGTTTATGAAACTAGTAGGAAGCACTACAAGCTAAAACAAAGACCACCGGGCTTGTTCCACTCACTCTTCTCCAGGCAGGTATGACATCACAGAGGTCTGTGAAGGGAACGGAACGGAGCCAGGGGCAGCCAAAAGGGGGCGGCCATAAGGGGGGGTGGCCAAAAGGGGGGGCGGCCTTAAGGGGGGGCGGCCTTAAGGGGGGGCGGCCTTAAGGGGGGGCGCTCATAAGGG